ATATGTAATAATAACTCCAAATTAAAATTTTATACACCAGTCAAATATTATTTTATATCAAGTTGATATATATGTCAAAATTTAAAAGATTAAGCTTATTCTCCAATTGAAAATTAAGGAATGAATACAGTAAAAGCTACTAGAAACATTGAAATTCAAACATTTAAACTAATAACCACCATTAGCTGCTCTGATGGTAAAAGAACAAAAAGATATTTTATGAGCACTTGCATTCAAGTCCCCCTAAATATTAGCAGGGATGGCCGTTAGGACTCTTATCTAGTTGGTAATTCTGTAGCACGGAGAGATTAATTGAGATACGCACAAACTGGATTAGACACCTTCGATGATTTTAAAAAAAAAAAAAAAAAAATTCAACCAGAAGACAACTTGTGTGGGAGAAAATTTCGTGATTGCCGGTTTATATAAGTAATCGAAAATCAACGTTTAACTTTAATCAGAGCTAGCTGTAATCAAATTGATAATACTGTTGTCCATCATCATCAATAAAGATTAACATAGAAGTCTGACTAAAACAACTCGTGTTTTGGGCTAGCTAGGACCACAAAAATATTACTTCCGCCACTCATTGTGATTTTCGTGGTGGAAAGCTGAGCAAACAACTTAAATATTATCTTCTTCTTTCAGCTAAAAAGGTTTCTGGTTCCGGGTCTACTTGCCACAACCACAGTTTTTCTTGTCTCATGGATGTAGACATATCATATATTATTCTACTGTTATTTCTTTATTTTCTTATCTTAATGTTTGAATAAGATATGTATAGAAGTAATCTATTGGATGGTTTGGATGGCTGTTCAAATAGAGGGACCATCAATTGAGTCTTACATCTGAAGCTCATACTTTTTACCCTTTCTGTGAAGTCTCAATAAATTATGCCAGAAAATCAAACAACAAATTAATATACAATAAATGGAAAACTATAGTTCAATTTTCAGGGTGGAAATGGAAAACGAAGTTCCTAGAATGCTTCTCCGCAAGAAACCAATCCTAGAAAGTTGAACCCGCCCCAGAATTTGTCAGCATCTTGTCATTGATTGCTCATTTTCTACTACTTGTGATTAATTAATTAATTAATTGATTATACATAGAAGAGAAAACAGGATTTGGTTTGTTTAAATTTGTAAGTTTCCAGAAAGTGATAGATATGTTTGAGTAATGAAAATATTTCTTCCAGAGTTGACCTGCAAATTGCTATGCACAGCATTTAATTGGGTTTCCGGAAACTTGATGGTGCTGTTGCCAGTTGTTCTTGTTCTGTTTCCTCTGTTCTTCAGCCTTTCGTTAACCTAAATATGTTCACGTATTTTTAGAAGATTGAAATTGTTCATGCATAAACTCTAACTCGGATTGCGATATGTTGGTAACTTACAGTCAATAAAAACTCTGCTTCTTCTTAAAATATAAACAAAGGGAGACATTCCCATATATACAAACTACTAAATCTGCAATAATATTGATCAGTAGTAACTTAACTAGGTGAGTCAACTCTCTACCAACACTGGTCAGTCTCCCAGTTCCGACCAGAGTATCCTGAAAATCCGGAAACAGTAGTCAACGGTCTGTTTCTTCGGAAAAGTTTCTGATCATAGACCGCGCGTTTTTCAGGATCCGATAGAGTGCAGTAAGCAGCATGAATCTTGATGAAGGAGTCCGCCGATGAATCCTTACAATCAATTCTTGCAACATCGGGATGGCAAGTCCTGGCCAGTCGTCGATATGCGGTTTTAATCTCGTGATTAGATGCTCCCAAGGGTATTCCGAGAATCTCGTAAAATGAGGCAGCGCATGATGCCATGGGGTGAGTAGGACTCCGATATGTGGTCGTCTTGGACCTTGTATTTTCCGTTGAAGTGTATGAATAAGCAGTTGTTGTTGTTGTGGCGGCCGCGACGGTTGAATGAAATCTAACACGAGGCGATGTTGGAACGGTTGTTTTGGTTTTGACGCAGAGTATCGGGGTTGGGGAGGACAGAAATTTAGAAGAAGAAGAAGAGAGCATGGTTATGTGATTAGGAGATAGAGAGGTTCTGGTGTTGGATATATATAAACTGAGAGGAGTTAACGGTTTTAACTAGAGTTAAGCTCTTAAAGAGTTAAAAATGGAAGTCATTTGCTAACGTATAAGGCAAATTACATATATTAATATTGTTAGTACAGGTGGGAATATTGGTTGGAAATGTATAGTATTTATTGATTATTATAATAATAAAAAAAAGAAAAAAAAAAATGGAAGGCTTATCCAATCCAATGTAAGGGTGGGGTAGGATGATGAGTCAGATATTAGTTTATCCAGATTGTCTGATGTGTATTGTTGATATTGTTATCTTTTTATGTTTTTTTTTTTTTTTCTCTTTTTTTGTGATCGACAAACTAACTTGTATGTACTTTAATTAGTTCTCAGGACCCTGAAATTAATAGTTAGATAAATCTTTAGTGATCACCTTTATTAGTAGCCGAGATGAATCAAAATCAGAATTTCTTGAATAATACCCTAAAAGTCTTTATTCAACCACCTAAGCTGGTTAACTTTGCATGTCCATTCTAAGAAAATTAATATTGGGAATTCAAGTTGGAATATCACATCTTCTCCAATTTAGCTGGGTGCAAGTGTCTATGTCATTACAAGTCAGCTGGCCAAAATGAATGGATAAGAACAAAGGAAAGAGGGTTTCATAGGATACCCAAATTAAACGATGATTAGAGATCCCTTCATCTCTGGACTATTAGAAGTGGGCGGTTCAATAGCTTAATTAGCCTATAAAAATTTGAGATGAGCAAAAGGGAATGCGCAAAACATGTGTGTCAATATGAATAGGCATGAGCACAACCCAGATTAAGAATTGGTGAATCCAGATCTAGTTTAAGAATCAATGGGAAATGATTAAAGAAACAGCTTCATCTAGTTGGAAGAAAGATAGATAAACATACACTGTACATAAATGCGGACAAGTCTTAAGTGTGATATTTGATTACATAATTGAAGACGTATCATTATTAACTTCTCCTAGTGAAACGGATAACTGAATTATCGGCTTTAGAATCTCATATCTAAAGGGATCATAAAAAGTCATAATTATTGTGCTGACGATCCTCAGTTGCAAGTTGAAGATGTAAGATAAATTTTCGAAATTGAAATCGCAATCTATTATCAACAATAATCTCAGAATCCTAAATTCTCCGTACAAGTTATAAAATGCTGAATTTATAATTAATAATTATAGACAAATTTGTTTATATGAAATTCTAATAAAAACTAGAAAGCAACATGTCTTTTTTTCTAATAAAGTGTATTGTATAATAATTTACGAATGGGTTAAGTTGCTCTCATGCATTTAGAAAAGGGACTTAACTAATTTTAATATTAGTTTATTGGGTTCTTTCATTAAATGCCCAATAAACCTTTAAGCTCATTACAACCCTAAACACACTTTTCATCAATACAAATTATCAAAATGAATTGTAACGGGCTATCCTAGAATGATCACATTTAGTCTATCAAAATATTTCATTCAATTATGCATTTACCTAGTTTTATAAAACCAAAATATAAGTAATGTTAACCCACACAAAAGACTAGATGCAAATAATGCAATGTCTTCAAGAAATACCTGCTTTATTTATCTTGGAAAATTATAATACGTACTATGTCCTACTACATGCAGCAAGTTAATATTAAAATTTCCAATCTTTTCAACTTTCGTAGCTTTAGGAGGAGCCAAGAGCCACATGACAACGTCCACTTAATAATTCAATGAATATAACATTGTTATAAATTAAAATAATGATATTTTGGATCAGCCATTCCTATCTCATACGACTTTTCTTATTTACTTATAAGCCAAAAAAATTTAGTTTTATTTATTTATTTACTTTTTAAGTGAAACAGATATCAATGATTCTAAGTAACAAATTCTAAATCTTTATTAAGAGAATGAGTTACAACTTCAATTCCGCATGTTACTAATCTTAAGGGATTAGTTTAACGGTCAATGAAGTTTGCTCCCTTCTTTAAGTACTTAGGTTTAAGCCTTAGGCCATCTCTTTTGGGTTTGTATGATATTCAATGAACTCCGAAAATTAGTTGAAATACGTACAAACTGCCTAGACACCTCGGTTACCAAAACAATAAAAATAAAATAATTCTACATGTTACTCAAATTAAACATGACAAACATAAAGATGTGAATAGAGTATTTATATACAGTGCAAAAACAAAAACGATTATTATAAATATTCACATTTATATATATATATATATATATATAAAACAATAACACAATTCAAACACTATGATTTTCACTTGGTTTGATAAATTTGATATGGGTTTCAAGCTATCCACAATTAAAGATTCTATTAGCCATAGATAGACCCATCTACCCAAAACTGAATGACTAATGAGATTCAACCAAACAATTGACTTCAGGCGTGATAGTTTGAACTTAACGAATCATTGGCTTTAACAATGCTAGCCAACCTAACTCAACTTTGAATCTATTTGATACATAACCAATAAATGCCATGGAATGTCAAAATAATCTTCTTCTAGTCTCCATGAGTTTTAAGTCCAAGATCTCTTAGTTCTTCAGTAATAGGGTCATACAAACAAGAAACTCCTAAGAGAGGCTCAACACATATCATGCATCACCCATATTTTTAAACTTATCAAAAAGTAATAAATAGAGAGAATCCTTGTATACTACAAGAGTTGCAGGTTCTGCATAAGGAATATGTGGTAACAAATTGTCAGTGTTTCATCCTTAAACAAAGCATATCCAAATGGTCTTTCATCATAAAAATCCATATAGTTTACCAATTTAAAATCAATGGATCTCTAAAGGACATGACCTCTAGATTAGCTAAGATTAGAAGTGAGGGACAATGTAACTAGATGATGCTAAGAAAAGAGAAAAGGGAATACTACTACAAGAAGCTTAAAAAATTCTCAACCAAACTAAATAAGAAAATAAATTGCGTAGTCATTAGAGGAAGAAAACCTTGTTTTCCTTTTTTTTTTTAACTACTTTTTTTGTTTTTTCCGATTTTACTAGATTACACTTTACAAAAATGTAATTACACTGATAAATACATGTGAAGATACAATGTCAACAGATGCTAAACATCCCCCCAGTGCAGTATGAGGCTGCAAATAACACCCAATTTTAAGAGAACTGATAACGCAGGAAAGGTAAAAATTAGGTTTCAAAATGTAACCTCAGTCAGACTAAGGAAGCAAGACTTGGGAGAGGTAGGGATGGACAGCTTAAATCTTTCATTTTCAGACCAAGATACACCATCATTTTTTGTGCTTGGATTTTGAAGAAGCCCATTTAAAGTAACCACAATTTGCTTCAGAATTAGAAGCAGGTCCCTTAAAAAAAAAAAAAAAAAATTGTTAGTTCAAAAGTGAGCTCACTGCATAGAAAAGCCAAAGAATTTGAATACATCTGTCTATTCCACAAATAATCAAACAAGCAGGCAAATAATAGAAACTCAGTATACGTAAAATTTTTAATTGTAACAAGCAAAAATCAGGGATTTGAAAGGAATAAAGAAGACATCAAATGGCAGCTTCTGTGTTTGTGAACCATAATGGAACACTATGTAGTGATCTTAGATAATAAAACTACAATATGTCAAGATAACTAATAAGAAGATGACTGAGTGCTGATCCTGCTGAACCAGTATCCAGATGAGTGCTCTGGATATGGTCCTGCAGTATTGTATTTTACATGAATTAGCAGCTCTGGAAATTTGAACCCAAGAGCTTGTGCTTATTATTCAAGACTTCAATTGGTACACAAAGCAATGGCCCCTAAAGAACCGATAAAATTTATTTAATCTAATGTCTCAAAACGAACATTGATAGGGACTGCTCTATAGGCTTTACTAATCTTCTTTAATCTTCCAGTAATTGTCACTGTGCACAACTGGGTAATGAACTGTTATAAATCTTTACTTTTCATCCCAAAATGAATCAGATTTTATTTCTATAAGATTTTTTCGTTCTGCATTCAGACCACAAATTGGGACTTTACATGAATATAATAAATTAGTTATCAAGTATGTGAAATACCTCAGCTCGAGCACAAACATAAAATCTGCGACCAAATGTAGGACCTGGTTTCTTCACCACTCGAGCAACACAAGGTTCCTTGTGGCCCTTACAAAGAGGTATACTGTTCTCCATGAGTTGTCGTATTCTTTGCCATTCAAGTAAAGCAACATTATTTTTCTCTTTGTCCAAAGAACAATTGCCATCTTGTTCATCTTGATCCTGTGAGCATCCACTCGAATTCACATCATGCAGCTCAGCATGACAGTTATTATAATCAGTCACAGGAGTTTTGCGATGAGGGGACTCTGGGACATCTGCCTGATGAAGTGAGGTATCAGTAACCAAATTGTCCACATCATGCCTAGGGTTTGGACTCTTCTGAAAAAAAGACCTCAGTGAGAGTTGCGAAGATTGAATTTTTCTTGCTTTTTTCTTGGCTCTGTCACTAGGAATTAAATTAATCTGCTTACAACTCCCAGCTGTAATTGTGGTGTTGCAAACAGCTTCATTAGGTAGATCTCTATGATTCTCATGCATTTTCCACATTTCTCCTTTAGGTTCTTGGTTTGCAAAAGAACAATGGTCACCAGGGGAAATTCCAGGTTCATGGCAGTTGAACGATCTTTCAGCACACTCACTGAAACTCTCCATTTTCATACTTTGGGTAGTAAGTGAGCTTAGGGCCTCGTAAGATTTAGCTTCTTTAGCAACTTCTCTTCTCATTAACACAGACACTGCAGAAAATCAAGAACTAAATAACTTTGCAGCAATGCATAAAAAACCAGCAGCTACAGAACAAAATACACATCAAATGCCAGGATGATAGAAATATAAAGCCCTCTTAGTTAAATGCCGAGAACCGCAAAGAAATGATGTTGCAAACACAGAATTTTAATTAGAGGGATTCAATAATTCAAAGCCTATCATTTTAATTAGTGTTTCAGTATTGAAGAGTTTTGGATGAAGACACTGCAGCTAATATCCAGCACGGACCTGAGGATCTTAAAATGAAAAGGTTTAAATTATTGAATCTCTCTACTTCAAATTTCTCTCAGTGGATTTCAAAAAAATACAGACTAAACTGATATTGAGTTCATATGTTTCAAGCCTCAAAAGCCGTTTTGTATATCCTGGATAAATTCAAAATTCATCTCTTTTGTGCATAGATGAGGGATTTCAGAAGTTAGGTGATAAAGAACCAGAAAGAGAAATGGATAAAGTATGGAGAAATAGGAAGAATAAGAGAAGGATAAAGGAGAACAACAAGAAAGGGGGGAACACAAGAAGAAATTAGAGAGGAGGAAATAAGCTATAGCGAGAAAACTCATTATATCAGCAAACAGAGAACCAGAAAGAAAAATAGATGAAGTATAGAGAAATAAGAGAAGGAGAGATTAGGGAGAAAACTCATAATATATTTATTCATAAACCAATCATGTTAACAAAAAACAATAATGATAAAAGAGTTAAGAAACCAAATCCCCACCAAAATATAATTCTAATCCTAACAAAACAGTGAAATGGAAGTTTAATTTAACTGAGACAATTCAATCCTAAAATATAAAAAACAAGGACTATATAGCCCTTTGCATCTTTCCTATATGTACAACATGAGGTTCCACTATCCATCCCAACTCACATTCCAGATCTCTTAACCAACACATCAATGTATATCAATAACATTTCTGAAGGGTGTGATGATTCATAACTTTTTGAAATAATATTATTAATCATTTATTTTCTACAAGAGTCATTAATTTTCCCCATATACAGGTAAACTACAACTAACTTTTTTGAGTAACCACAGTGGCTTTATATTCACCATTATTCTATACAAGTAGACTATCATAGTCAAACCAACGCAACTAAGTCATATTAAAACTTCATCAATTTGATCTTTAAAAAACATTCCGTAACCTAACAAATGCCATATCATATGATGAAACCGAGAAAGCAAACAATACCTCAGTCATATATTAAAGCATTTAATTGATGTCACCACAGAAATTAGTGCATTATATAAAATAGATGCCTAATTTAAAAGAGTCTACTATTGGAAGATAAGAATATTAATCTCACCAAGAGTTTGCTGGAGACCACAAATCATGGGAAGGTATCTAGAAGCTAAAGATGGAGTGCTATGTTGGGGAATAACAGGAACTTCCCCAAAACTCATATAAACAGGAGCATGGTCTGAACCTTCTAATTTGATATTCAGCCCTCCTTTCCACCTGGTTCTGGAAAAAGTTCATCAATTATCAAATACCAAAACTGAACTGGGAGCATGATATTACTCTATTCACAAGTACACTTACCTCAGTGTATTTCCAGGTTTCCACCGTTTATACTCTACCAGTATGTCACACTCCTTAACATGACAAGTTACAAAGTTATGGCCTTCCAGGTCATGCTTTTGATGAAAGCATGGTCCACTACAGAGAATATGGTCAATTCTGGTCCCATAATTAAATTGCTCTGCACCTGTATTAGATGGCCAGCATGTGTATGCATCTCTTCTGGATAATAATTAGAGAGAAAAAAAGGAGGTCATCATGATCAAAGACTTACAAAAATATTAGTAACAATTCATATGGAGACTGAAGCATCATATATAAGTCTTAAACGAATACAAGCACAATCTCAGATCCACAGAAAAGCTAACTAGTCATAGTCATGTCAAAAACCTTGCAAAGACACAATTTATGATCATTTACCAATTTTAGTGAAAATTATACACATGATGTATTTAAGTATTCTAGAAATTACGAAAGTTTGCAGAATTAAATTATATTTAGAAAAAAATAAAAACCAAAGCATTCTTTGTTGGTGATGAAGAAAAACTCAATCTTAATGTTCAGTTCTACATTCAAATCGTACAAACATAGAAGTCATCAAATAAAAAAACCAACCTAAGAGCTTAACTACTAGGTACTAGGTAGAATAGCCCTACAAATATATAAAGCCACATTAAATCCAAACTTCAGTGGATACATCATCAATCATCATCAGTCATAATAAATTCAAAAGTCAGTTCAAGTTCTAAACCTCTCAGGATGTTTTGCTCTGAAAACATCTAAAAAGGAGCCACAGGATTCCACCAGCATAGATCTAAACCATCTTCTGAACCTGCAAAGCAATTCATTCATATGAATACATCATTGCTTGTGAAGCTGAATAATGTTATAGATAAAAATAAGTCAGCTCCAAGAACAGCTAGAAGCTTAGAAAACAAAAACCAAAGAAATCAGATAGTAGCTTACTCATTCTTTTCAAAATCCGGTTCGGCCTCACAGCGATCTATGGCAGCAGGAGCAATGTTGAGATCACCAACCACAAATATCCTCCTCTTTTGACACAAGAGAAACTCCCATCTTTTCTACATAAAAGATTACCGATATCATCACAGCATAAAACTCATGTTTGCTAATTAATCCAAATAATTGCTTCACAACCAATCTTTAACAGTAAACCAAAAACCTTAAAAAGGAAAACAAATTAGGCATTTATACTAGAGAGACAAAGATGGCAAATACAACAAAAGAAAAGGATTAAAATACCTGCAATATCTTGAAAAACATAAGCTTAAACTGAATCCTGTCCACATCATCACTAGCAGCTCGTGGCCCATAAATATTAAACAGAACTGACCAATTGTAACATAAATTTCATCAATAACTGACCAATTGCAAGACAAATCTATCGCTAACTAGTAAGAACAAATAAAACTTCTCTACTGTATCATTATCAATCAACATGGTTTTAACTTACTGAAATGACCGTGATCCGTGATTATACAACGTCCCTCACCATCAACCCTACAGAGCTCATCTTTTGCAAATTCCTCAAGACCTTCCGCAATTTTACTTCCAGAAGTATCTAAAACACCAGTAAAGCCGTCTTCTGCTGCCACTGGCAGTGCCACTTCGTCACTCGAAAAAGCTGATTTCACACGGCAAAATGTCGCTACTCCTAGAGAAATTATAATGGAATAAAACGCAATTGCCTTTAAAAAAAAAAAAAATTAATAATTAAATTAAAAAGAAACGTTGCATTTAAAAATAAAAGTGACAAGTTGTTTTGGCTGCGGCAATTAAACAAACAGCTTACCGGAATAGCCAGTTCGGCCTTTATCAGAAGTACGCGTGCAAGAAAAAAAAGATTCATATCCGTTCAGCCAATCTAAATCCGATTTTAGTTCTTGTCTTCTTAATTTTGTCTCCTGTATGGGGCAAATCGTCGAAATTAATATAATTTAACAAGCCAATAATAAAATGTATAAATGAGTGTTAAGAGGAAGGGACCTGACCTGGAAGCAGATGATATCGGCATCGAAAGAGTCGAGTAGTTTGCGAAGAGAGCCGAACTGAGAGATGCGTTGTCTTAACCCATTAACATTGTATGTTACTATCTTCATCTTCTACCTGCCCAAAGGTTACTCACGCTCACGCCAACGATTCTCTTTAGGGTCAGTTAGGTTGGGGTTAAGTGACATTACTGGGGTAATGTCATTTATCTTATGTTCATGTTACCACGTTTGGTTGTCAAGTAATAAAGATACCAGTAATCTCAAAACCAATAGTGGTTACATTGGTAAATAAGAGGTAATCTGATTACCTCCATTTTTTGGTTTTTGAGATTACCAGGGTTATTTTTTTGTTACAATTTATCCTTTAATAAAAATTTTGGACAATAATACCCCTACTTTAAAACAATTTACATTAATATCCATTTCAATTTTACCCTTGTTAATTAAAATTTTGGACAATAATGCCTTAATTAAAAGAATTTACAGACCACCATGCCACCAAGCACCACCACCACGGCCACCAGCACCACCACGCGCCTGCCGCCACCGCGAACAACCGCTGGAAAATCGCCGGAGCCCCAAAAACACGAAAATCTGTTGGAGGCTCCGGGAGGCTTCGATATGGCCGTTTTTGGCCATATGATGGCCGAAAACGGCCATATCGGGCCAGATCGTGCCGGAAATGCCAGATCGGTGGCCGTGTAACGGCCAGGTTTGGTCCAGACCTGGCCGATAATGGCCAGGGATCTGGCGGTAACGGCCAGAACTCGATCTGGCCGGAAATGGCCAGAATAGATCTGGCCATTCCGCCAGATCTGGCCCGTATGGCCGTTTTCGGCCATCAATATGGCCAAAAACGGCATATTGAACGCTCCCGGAGCCTCCCACAGAATTCCAGTGTTTTTGGGGCTCGGCGATTTTTCGGTGGTTGTTCGCGGTGGCGGCAGAGGTGGGGTGATTTCGTCATGAATTAAAGTTTTTTTATAAGCGGGGGTGTTTTAGCTAAATCTAATATGGGGGTTAAAAAATAATTCAAAAATTAATAATAAAAATAAATATATTAATATTTAAAAGAGGGTCAATTTAGTAATTTAAATAACATACCCACCAATTATTCCCATAACCAAACATATTAATATAACATAACCACCAACTAACCAAACATATTTTCTTAAAGATTCCCAGTAATTTCAAGGTAATCTACTTTCCAGTAATCAATATTCCCAGTAATCTAACATTTCTGAACCAAACGCCCCTTAGAGTTCTTGCCACTCATAGTTTGAGAACCGGAAACGACGTCGTTCTATTCTGCATAAAGAAAAATGAGTTCCGCTTTGAGTGACACATCACACGAAAACACCGCGTCATATGAAAAACTAGCGATTTGTCTGCAGATTTAGTTCGTCTTCAGAACTCAAACCACGATCCAAGGTTTGTTAGTTTCTTCAGTTAATGGTTTATTGAATTTATTTTATTTAGCTGGTATTTGATTCTCTTGACATTCCAGGCATATCTTGGGCACAGATGACCAGGGTAAATTGCAGGCAAAAGGAGAAAATTTAGTGCCGGTCATTCCAAGCATCTATTTAAAAAATGGTCTTGAAACTGTTCATCAATTTTTTTTAATTTAGAGAAGATGACGTGGCATAGTTAGGATTAATTAAACACGTAAAATGAGTTAAAATGAAAAGATAAAACATATGTGGGCCGAATCAGAAATAATGGAAGTTTTAAAATTTGAAATTTCGCAAAACAAACCCCACTAACTAATCACCTCGCTTAATCGAAATTCATCAGTTCAAAAGCGATTTCTTGAACGAAAGGGACGCGATTTTTTTCCTATCGAACACCAATTGATTTGCACCCTAAATCAATTTCTTGAACCCTAAACCGAATACAGTCGCGATTTTCGGCGATATAGTCGCAATTTTCGATCGATTTGTTGAACCCTAAAATTGTTCCTTAAGTAAACGAAAACGGTGTGCATTTCAGCGATATAGTCCAGATTTTCGATCGAAACTGCAAACTTTGACACAAAATTCAATCCAAAACCATGAGGGACACTGACAATGAGGAGGGAAGCCCAAAGCCAATTCGAATCCTAGATTCGATGGCGCAAGCAGTTCAATGGTGCTCCGGGGACATCTGACCAGTGAAGGTGGTCACAAGAGAGAGAGCCGGCGGCACAAGAACAGAGGGAAGAACAGCAAACGGGTCTGAAGACGAGGAGTCAGGCGGAATTCAGGCCAGGAGGAGGATTCCGGAGAGAATTCAGGGCAGGAGGTGGATTTCGGTGAGATTCAGGCAGGAGGAGTCACCGGAGATCCAGGCGACAAGGAGAAGGCCGGCGAAGATAGGGTACGTAGTTTGGGAAGTTTGCTTGTAATTTCGCCTAAGCGATCATTTGTACTATCGTTAAGCGATTTCTGTTTACTCGTGATCGCAGCCATGATTGCTTAAGCGATAAAAGGATGCTTAAGCGATCTGAGATCTGGGTAGATGATTTGCTAGACATAGAGCGCTTAAGCGAAGAGTGTTTACTCTTGGTCGCTTAAGCGATCTTAGGCTTGGGCAGAATCACAGATATTAAGAGATTCTCAGTTAACTTTTGATCGCAGCGATTTAAATCGTTAAGCGATCTTGCATGGACAGTAAAGATCTCTTAAGCGATCCGAGATCGTTAAGCGACTACAGTGGTTTTGGTTTATTTTGTTGATGACATTTTATTTATATCGATTGTGCAGATTGTGCGGACCGTAAACTGTAGAGACGAGTTGGAGCCTAAAGTGGAGAAGGTACCCTACTTCCCTGCAAGGGTGACGGTGAGGTCGAGCTGGGAGGTTTTTGACAGAATAAGGGCCATTTAGCTAGAATGAGGCATGGTGAAAGAGATTTTGTGGCACTTGTTTCGGTCAGTTTTAAGAATCGGAACAAAGTGGAAAAAGTCACTTTAGGGGCAGGGAGTGCATAAATGTTGATGCACTAAGTAAAATGCAACAAAAAAAAATGAAATGTGGTTGTGGTGGAGGGAAAGCCACTACGGTTGGTATGATGGAGTATGCGTTGGTGACGGGCTTAGGATGGGGAAAGTGTCAACTAAGGCAGAGGCAGACGCAGTGAAGGACGAGTGCGGGAACCATAAACTTTGTAAAAAGGTTTGAAAGGGGCAAAGTCTATTACAGGAAAAGTTTTAGAGAAGAGGCTATATACAGTTCGGTTTAGCGATGCAGAGAAGATAAAAGTGTGGCTTGATATTGTTTTACATTCTATCTTTGGCTGGTGACTCAACAAAAGCTGTTGAGAAAGATTGGTTGCTGTTTGTAAGGATTGGAGTTCTTTAATTCTTATCGTGGGGACAGATAATTTGAGCGAACCATCCAGAGCCGAAAAACCAGACATGGCGTTAAAGCATGCCAAATGGGGCGGGAAGGCTAAACCAAGCAGTATAATTTGTTTGGCTCCCATGGGCAATGCAGGTAAATATTAATAGCTCTCTGTTATATTTTTTAAATTGTGTTTGAATAATGATGGACTGTTTTTTTACAATGTAGGCTGGATGTATGAGGCCATCCCTGTCTCGCTAAGGCGGGGGGGAGGAGAAACAATGTGAATGTGCAACAGCAATTTCAGGATGTTGCGGTGGCATGTCGAGAGCTGTACCATGGGATATGGCCATAGAGATTGAGATTCAAGCAGCTGGGGTAAGATTGAAGGATTAAGCTTTGAATATGCAGTTGCTTTTTATTTTGCTTCAATCTGATTGATTTTATTTCTTATTGCAGGGAGTCGTCCGTCCCTTTTTGACCGCTATTGGGGATGAAGCGGAAGAGGACTATGTCACACTTTTAGAGCAATGGAGGATGAAAGGGATGAACAGATAGACCACCTGATGCGGGACCTAAAAGGGGTCAGCATGTGATGGCAATTGCAGGGCCATGCTTGACAATGTCGTTGATGCTGAGGATAATGAAGCTCGGGGGCGGGAGGATGAGGAGGAGAAGAGGGAGAAGAGGTTGTAGCCTCAGCAAACCGGTACAACAAGTACCGCTTTGCCGAGACTCGGCGTATGGAGAATGAGGTTGTTGACCTAAACGCGCTGTTTGAGAGTTTTACAACAGCCGTTTATGCCAGGCTCGAGAAGATGGAAGAAACAATGAAAATGGTGGAGAAGAAGTGGATAAGGTGGGAGGGAAAGTAGGTACAATGGAGGGCGAAGTTGGTACAATGGAGGAGGAAGTTGGTGCAGAATTAAAGGCGGTTGAAGTGCAAACTGGCTTGAAAAGAGAGCCAAAAGAGCAAGTTTGTGAAATCACCTTACATGGTAGTGACACAGGTAAAGAAGAGAAATGAAGAAACAAATGGAGGAACAACTAGAAATGGAGGAGGTTGAGGAGGTTGGTGGTGGAAGTGGGGCGGTGATAATGGGGAGGGGAAGTTGGGAGGGAAGGAAGCGGGGATGTAAAAATGGAGGAAGGGGGAGGAAGTGGGGAAGGAAATTGGACTCAAATGCGATTTGTATAGGGCAATAGAGGAAAAGAAAAAACTCTTTTATGCCTATTACAATGGATCGGGAAGTGTGGCCATATAAAGTGTAAGACAGGGGATTATCCCCGGAAGGTGTTCAGAAGTTGTTGACGATGGGGACGTGGTTGAGGAATCGGTGAGTTATTTTCACTTAATTTTCCTTATTTTTGCCTGTGTTTTTATACTTATCTTGTTGTTTTATTTGATGCAGCACATCGATGAGTATTGGCACTGATGAGGCAGACAGACTAGTGATGGTGATCTGTTGTATCCCAATTGTGCTATCACCGATGTGTGGCGTTGGGCAAACGCTGTTTCGGCATATCGGTCTTTAATTAAAAATGTCGTTGCTAGTGTGTAGCCAAAGGACCGAAGCGAAAACGATTGGCCGCACAACAGTTGGACTGCATCCTGATGATTTCCGGTTTGATGACAGGATATGCAGTACGTAAGGGGGGATCGGCAAATATGGCCACGTTGGGCCTTTGTTAAAAGAGTGTACTGCATCATCCTCGTCAAACAGATGCACTGGATAGCACGTTGCGCATCTAGAGGGGGTGTCTGAAGATCCTTGACTGCAACCC